GAATTCAGAGGCAAGTTTAAATGAGCTTTAATAGAAAGGCACATATACAGCCAGAGTGTGAGAATTAAAAGCTTTTAAATGCAGAAACAGTTTTCATCTAATCTCCTCTAATCAGAAGTGACCGTCTCTGCTGGATCAGCTCAACTGTTTGTTGTTCTGTCGTTCATGAATTCAAGTATGTCAAAACTAAGTCACAGCCGTGTTCATCTGAACCGAGATCCGATTACCCCGTTGGCTCTTTTGTACCCCAAGCTTTGTGTGTGTTTGTGTATATTTAATGAAGGAAGGTCGTGTGTGTGTGTGTGTGTGTGTGTGTGTACTGATTTAAGTGGTTTTTGAGGACAAATTTGTATAATGACATGGGTATGACCTAGGTATTACAATGTGGGGTTATGAGTACATGTCTTGTTATTCAAACTGTTAAAAAAATCATATTTAACAGGGGGTTTTTTTTCACATTGAAATTTGTCAAAGGTTTTCTGTGAGGTTTGGTTTAAGGGTAGGCTTTTTCACAGTTTAAAAAACATTACGCCTATAGAGAGTCCTCATAAACCACCAAATCTGTGTGTGTAGATGGATGAAGGTTGAAGAAGGGGAGGGAAGGGGTTTGTAACAATGGCTCGCTATCAGATCTTTCCAGTCTCAGTGTTAAGTGAGTGTGTGAGTGATTGTAAAAAGTTTAATTAATGCAGGTTAAATAAAAGCAATAAATATAAATATCCATGACATCATGAGGTGTGAAATGTACCTGTGTCGTTCACAAACCAGCAGGGATCAAAAAAGACAAGATCATGTGAGGGAGGGAAGGGGGGGAGGCAAGATTCACAGGTTCTTAAATAAATGCATTAATAGGGTCAAGATTATTATGCTACGCAACTAAAATGTGTGCTTTCCAGAGGGCACAAGAGGAGAAACTAAAAACATGCAAGTTGCATCTTTCAGGTTGTAGGACTGGTGGCCATTTTGTTCAGCATGACTGCAATGAAAATGGCCACCTTCACATACAAAAATACACTTAAAGCAGTCGCGGCCTCGAGAAGAAGCTCTGAAAACTGCATGGAAACACAGAGTTGAATGATCTAAACCTCTAGCGCTCATTCAGTCTCGTTCCTCAGCATTTGGTCTGACTGATATCCACTGATGGTGTTCGTTCAGGCCCGTCCTGCTCTGCCAGCGAGAGATCAGCAGGGTGTTGGGTGACACTGTTGACATTTTTTTTTTTACTTTTTTCTTTTTTGGGGCCGTAGAGGGTCTGAAAGCTTTACCAGCGGCGGCAACAACACACACTCACACACAAACAAACGATCTACTGCAGTACTGATGGGCCGTGTTCCTCCTCCTTTTGCTCCAGTCGAGGTATCTGTGGTTCAGTGGTGCTCCTTTCCCCCCTCTTTTGTTCACTCCGATACGCGTCTTGCGCCCCCTCTATTTCTGGATCTGAAAGATGAAGAGGCGGAGGTTGATGTTTTTGGCAGCCAGCAGCTTGTTGCACTCCACGCTGTCGCAGATGGGCAGCGGGGCGTACTCGGTTTCATTGGCGTCGTTGGAGAAGACGTGGTGCTGGATGACGGGTTTGATTTTGATGTCCTCGTACGGGCCCTTCAGGAGCAGGAAGGAGCACTCCAGCGCAGAGTTCACTTTGCTCTTCAGGATGAGCTGGAAGGCGAGCGTGCGTTTGCAGGACAGGTTGGGGTTGCGCTCCGAGTCGTTGACCCGCGCCTTCAGCACCCAGGTTTGGTTGAGTACGGTGAAGCGCGGCGTCTCGTAGTACAGTCGCGTGATGAAGTCGTCAGTGCGGTATGGCCGAAACTGCACCTCTGGAGCAAAGATGGGTTACAGAGATGTTACAAGTTTGCAGAGAAGAACTTTAATGGTTTAAATCAAGCGTATTAGTAACTGTTTACAACAAGATTTGATATACTGACATGGAATGATTTTTATCATATTAAGTAGAACAGCTCTGGAATAATTAACAGATCACTTTAAAGTCCTGCATCAGTTTTCTTTTATGATCTACTGATAACACGTCTTCCAAATTACAAGTATGAATGTTAAAATCTTGTTTGGCAACGTTTTATTACTAGTTTTAATTTGTTCTGGGCAAGGCAGTGGCGCAGTTGGTAGTGCTGTCGCCTCACAGCAAGAAGGTCGCTGGTTCGAACCTCGGCTCAGTTGGCGTTTCTGTGTGGAGTTTGCATGTTCTCCCTGCTTTCGCGTGGGTTTCCTCCGGGTGCTCCGGTTTCCCCCACAGTCCAAAGACATGCGGTACAGGTGAATTGGGTAGGCTAAATTGTCCGTAGTGTATGGGTGTGTGTGTGTGAATGTGTGTGTGGATGTTTCCTAGAGAAGGGTTGTGGCTTGAAGGGCATCCGCTGCGTAAAAATGTGCTGGATAAGGTGGCGGTTCATTCCACTGTGGCAACCTCGGATTAATAAAGGGACTAAGCCGACAAGAAAATGAATGAATGAATGAATTTGTTTTGTTATTGATGATGCATGTTTGTAAGTCTACCTTGGGTGTCTAGAAAGGCGCCATTTACAAATAAAATGATTCATTAAATTATTATTATTAATGGCCAAACATATCTTATATAAGTTTAGGATTGTTGTTGCACATGAAATATAACACAGAAAACGTGATTTAAAATATTTTCTAGTTGGCTAGTAATCAATTAATAGTCATTCAAACAACTTTACCGAAGTCTCTCTACTTGATGGTTGGTCTCCTATGTCCACCATGTTTGTAGTTTGTTTACACTTTTTACATGAGTTTGCCATTCTAATCGAATTCACGCACAATGTACTGTGGGCAATGTTAGCAGTTAGAGTATGGACTATGGACTGTTCTATACTTTAAATTTTTACCGGAAATAGTAGCCCATCGAGCAACCTTTGGAATAGTATTTTTACTAAACTACAGTTTGGGACACACTAATTATATTTTTGAATACTATTTAGGACGGATAGTAAGTGAATTGGGACGCAGCATGAATATGAAAGAAAAGGAGATTTGCGGTTTATATCCCACACCTGTAAAGCCGATCTTCTCGAAGCACAGCAGGCTGAAGATGCTGTTGTAGAGCTGAAGTTCTCTGCGATGGCTCTGGTCCATCTCGTCCAGGATGCCCATCAGCTCCATGCCAGTTTTAGACGGGTGGCAGCACTCGGCCTCATGGGCACTGAGCTCATGAAATGGCCCCTGCCACGGACAGCCAATCCGCTTGTACTTACACTGTGTCACTCTGTGTTCAGAAGAGATAACGCAAGACGTGATAAACCAACATCATTCTGTATAGAAGAAAATGTGCTGTCTGTTGGGCATGGGATGATAACCAGTTTCAGGGTTTACTGTGGTTTGGAAAAGGCAAGGTTTCTAAAAAACGCTCAAATTTTCTGTTTCTACGGTATATGTATAGGGTTTTTTTATGACCATTTTATTTAGTTTTTTAGGGCAACAGTATCTTCGGCAGGAAAGGAGTCTGCAAATTAAAAGCTACTGATCAGCGTACGATTCAGCAAACATCGGAAAAACAAATCACTTATACAGCAACATCCAAGCATGCTATAAACCTTAAACATGCAGTGACTTTATATCCAAAGATCAAAGAATATTGTGTTCAATAGAGGGAAAGGTTTTTCCCCAGACATTCGAAAAGAACTTATTTTAGAGCCGTAATCACAGCACTGTGATACCGTGAAACTGTGATATTATCATCCAAGGTTGTTATACTGTGGGAATCTTATACCTGCCCATACCTACAGTCTGTTCCTCATCTGTAAAATGGATTTAGCGATTTAGCAATTATAAGCATATTCAAATTATTAAATTAACACCAGTTAAAAATTAGTTATACATATATATATATATATATATATATATATATATATATATGTATATATGTATATGTATATATGTGTGTGTGTGTGTGTGTGTATATATATATATATATATATATATATATATATATATATATATATATATATATATATATATATATATATATATATATATATGTATGTATGTATATGTGTATGTATATATATATATATATATATATATATATATATATATATATATATATATATATATATATATGTGTGTGTGTGTGTGTGTGTATGTGTGTATATATGTATATATGTGTGTGTGTGTGTGTGTGTGTGTGTGTGTGTGTGTATATCTCAAAAGTTCTGTCTGTTTCTAGAATCTGATTGGCTGATAGCCGGGGCCAGACAGAATTTGGGAAGTTTCTTGCCATTTCTGCGGAGAAAATCTGCGGATATCTGCGGAATTATTTTGGCAGTATCATAACTAAATCCTTAATATGTTAAATAAAAAGTAATACTTTTTTGACTTTTATTTAATGTTTAAATTGCAAATCCAATTAGATGCACTTTATTTGTTAAACAAAGCAAGACTCTCATATAATATCTCTACTAAAAGACAGAAAATATTACTGTAAAAACTGCATTGTGCATAAATCAGATGAACTTTTTCACATTGGTCATTAATATTGCTGTAATTAAATAAAAAAACTGAATAAATATAGATTTACACACATTTACTCAAGTAAATAAACAAAATTAATGATGAGCTAAAAATCTGCGGAACTACGCAGTTTATTCATAAGGTGATTTTCTAAGTCAATCTTTCTCTTTTGTATGTTGTAGTGCTGTATTTATTCCATAGTAATTGTAGTATATTGTGTGAGATGGGACTCTCATATCAGGAATGTGGGTCATGTTAGCAGAAAGAAAGAAGAAATGCCTGCATGTGTTTAGCATTTTTCCTTATCACAAACACAACAGCAATGTGGTAGTGATTGCACTGCTTTTTTCGGGATTATTTATTATGATATCACGATTGCAAAAGAGAAATACTGTAGACTATAACAGATGGTAATACTATAGGGAGATCTCTCTGTAGACTGGTGGCATTTTATGTCGTTTAGCTATATAATATTAAAATATTGTCAGCAATATCAGCTGTTTTGTCTTCACTTTACACATTAGGCTAGAGAATCAGTCCAACTCTAGCTCTAAAGTGACATTGGTAAATTAGTTACTGCTTCTGCTGTTCTGACGTCAGCTGCAGATGTGAATGAACGGCGAAAGAAAGTAGTTTCTCATACAAAAGAGCTTTTAAACTCTGAGTTTGATGTTCTTTTTTTGTATACATGATTTTGCTGTAAAACAGTTGTATAAACACAATATCACACTCGTATTGGTGCAATATATCTGTATATCAGCCAATGCACACCTCTGACCAGTGCTAATATACAGTCTTATATACAGCCAGACTGCTACTCGTGTGTGTATGTGTGTGTATAGAAGTGCAGAAGAAGTGTGTAAGTGAATAATAATTATTGTTATTATATAAACTATGTATTGTTATTATTAAATACCCCACAGTACACCTCTCAAAGTTAAATTAATAATACAAAATAATTAAGAATGATTAAGTAAATTAAAATGAATTTTTATTATGAAATACCTTATGGTTCTATATTATTGGAGTATTTATAAATTACATTTTTAAACATCTAATTAATTATAAATAATATTTCTATATAAATCTATTATAGTTGAATAGAGATACTATAGTTAGGTACTATATTATTATAGAGGTACTAGTTTTTTTTTTTTAGAAATGTTTAATTTAAATGAATTGTATTAATTCATTATTATTTAAATTTAAAATATTATTATTAAATACTTTACAGTTCTAACGTATTTGTGCTATTTTTAATGTTTTTTTTTTGTTTATTTCATTTCTGCTTAATTTTATATGCTCAAATATTTTTAATATTTGCTATATATATATATATATATATATATATATATATATATATATATATATATATATATATATATGCTGGTTTATAAAGTGCTATTTTTAATTTTTAATAAGTTAATAGGCTAATTAAATCTAATAATGAAATCAATAAATAATAATGTATGTAATAATATTTGCAATTACATGTGCCGAATTTGTTCTGCCTTCTTTTTTTCTAATATTAGGCACATACGGTTTCATGGCCAATAATATGTGTGTGTGTGTGTGTGTGTGTGTGTGTGTGTGTGTGTGTGTGTGTGTGTGTGTGTGTGTGTGTGTGTGTGTGTGTGTGTGTGTGTGTGTGTGTGTGTCTGTGTAAATATGTCTGGCAAAATGTTCATTTTAGAGCCTTGTAGGAACAAATATTTAGTGGTTTCACCCCCAAGTTTAAGAGGTGTGTGTTCAGTGACTGCTGTACCTGTCCTGACACTCCTCTGTCTGGTGGCGGTCCAGGCCGGAGCGAGGGAACTGTTTGAGGCAGTAGCTGCACTCAGAGGGCAGTTCACTCACGGCCTTCTCCACCGCCAGATTCCTGCAGCACAGACTCTTACTGATCTCACAGCGGCAGTTCGGACACGTGGCCTGCTCCTCTTTCAGACGCGAGTCCGCAAGCAGGTGAATGAAGCAGCCTGCGCACATCAGGTGCCCATTCGTACACTGTGAAACGAGAGCATATACCTTCAGTTCACGATGAAATGCGAACTGAAATCATTCCTCAGTGTACAAGATCACTTCTCGTAGAATATGGAGATTGCGCATTTTCCCGAATGCAGTAGTTTCTTGTTTCTGTGTAGAACAACTACATTACCCATAATTCTGAGCTGATAATTCCACCATTCAGAGAGCTGCAGGGAGCGCTCCACCCATTGCAATTAATTACCTTTATCTTTACACTTATACTTGTGTATATATGCATATTTTGCAAGGACAATCTTCAGATATATCCATTGTTTTCATTTGTGTGTCATTTGCAAGGCTTCATGGGATTGTAGTTCTTTCAATCCCTCATGAATGTCATTTAGTTCAGTGTTTTTTTTTTATTCTTGATATCAATGTTTGTAATGTAGTTGTGATTCTCCTGATAGATTTTTTCATGCCTTATTAATATTTTAATGGGATACATGACTAAAAAAAAGCCCTTCTCAAATCAATGCTACTCAAAAAGTGGATGGACATTAATGCATTTTATAAAGTAACAAGTTAAATATAAACATAAACACTCAAATAAATACAGAAAAATAAAAAAGGTTTGTCAAACCTCAGGCTGTTCCCCATGTGTGCCGCTCTCCATATACTTCCATATGGATCCCCTGGTTAGCAAAGAATAGCTGGAATTTATTTTGACTAGAATTTTCAGTTCGAGCACTTTTTTTCCTCATTTAACATGCAAATGAGTTTCTTTAAACGCACCCAATTATGACTCAAACAACTTTACTGATAAATGGATGTTAGTCAAAAAGAATTCTAACAAATACATATAACATTTGATCTGTTTAAAGTAACAGGAGTGTTTAAAAAAACCTGCAGTTTGTTTTAAATATTTTAGACTTATAAATATGTTAGACTTTAATTAAAGGATATGTTACATAGTACTTGTACTCACAAATCTATAATTACAGAACATTAATTAAGAACATTTACATATTATAGGATTAATGTTATTTGTATGTCGTCTTTTTACATACACATTAGTTTTTAGTTTTTTTATTAATATATTCTGATTTGTTCTTTATTGATTTTTATCTTAGTAATTTATTTGTTTGTCGCAAAGGAAAATTTTGTTAAAATAATAATCAAATAATATGTTCAAAGTAGGGCTGCACGATATTGAATGGAAAATTTCAAATTCAAATTATGGAAAATTTGGACATTGTGATATTTTATATAATAAAATAAAATATAATGTAAAAAAAATAAAAAATATAATAAAATATAATATAAAATAATAAAATATAATAAAACTAAATAAAATAAAATAAAATAAAATATAATTTCACCAGATGACTTAACACTTTTTTTCAATTACTTTAAATTAGTTAGGATAATTTTATAGGGCAGTGAAATATATTTTAATAAATGTATTATATACATATAATAAACAAAATACAGTCATAAATAAACACAACAAAGCACATATACTAGTGAATTTAACAGTGATTTATGATTTTCTGGGGAGAGTCTAACAGTATTCGGTTACAGAAGTTGAATAATCAAATGTAAAATCTTCTTCATATAAATTGTTCAATAAAATTAATCTTCATTAACCTTCTTTATGCTCTACTAAATGTGTTCACATAGTCACAGACCTTAAAAACATATGCAGATAATAACTTTCACTTTATTGTGCTTAAATTCTCCACAGATCTTCTGTGTTTTGACCTGTGGTTCCAGGTCATCTATATTCATAACTCAACATTGCACATCTTGCTATGTGACAATTGCGGACACACACATTGCAATACCGATGCTCAACAATATATTGTGCGACCCTAGTCCTTGGCAAGATGTTGCTTTTGGTGTCTGAGTCAAATTAAATAAAAAAAAACAAATCTAATTTATATTTACAGAAAGCATATTAAATGGATATTAATATGTGCGATCTTTTGTGAATATGAAATGTCAAAATAAAGATGGAATAAAATTTAATTGTACTTTAGTATAACCGAACTGTTTTTGTAAAATTAAACAACATACTAATTATGTCCTGTACTTATTAAATTTCATAAACAAAGAATAACTGTTCATACAACATTTTATTATATTTTAAACGTTTAAAAATTTGACAAACGGGTAAATGTTTTGAAGGATAGCAGCAAAATATAATATATTTAAAACGACAGTTAATGAATTTTGTAGGACTTTTAGTATCATTTTATTAAATTATTCACGTTTTAAATATGCCTGTTGAGGCTTTTGACACAAAAAAACTATTATTATTATACTAAACAACATTTAGTTTTCACAAATTTGACAAACCATTTACAACTCTATTATTTGAATGCATGTTTTATTCCATCATACCGATCAACGTTTGAGGTAAAACGGGTAAACACGCATGTAGTATTCTAAATTTAGTTAGTCCAAAGTTTGATTTGAATAAATGGGTTACTAGTTTACCAATTCACCATCTGATCTGTAACCAATGTTGAGTCTGTGTTTGAAGAACTCTGCATGCAGTTGCTTTAGTGAATTGTTTGTTTTGCTTCAGGGTTTTGCACATGTTCGTTTCATTTGATAGGATTCAAACCCTGATTCGGTAATAAACGGATTACATGGCATGAGCTTAATAGCGCTGATGCAGTGAGAGACACATCCTCCCTCCATCACATGACACTGTCAGGGTCAGGGAGAAAGGATGGCAGCTTTTCCTCATGTTAAGTGTCTAGTATATCCTGTCTGGTTTCAATATAAGCTTGAACACATTAGCAATGACCACTCTATTGTGAACAGGATGCATCTAATTATTAAGCAAATGGATGAGCCTAAATAAGGTTATGCAATGCTAAACAAAGTGAGGGAAAACATGAGAGGAAGTTCTTTTACAGCTGGTTTAGCCTGTGGCTTCAGGAGGATTATATGGGGTGCATATTTGGGGGAGGGGTGATCAGCGGGGCCCGGCAGGGATTGGGTTAAACAGGTCATGTGACCGTCCTGATTGTCATGTTTGCCTTTGAAGGCAAAAAACAGCTGCTCAGTTCAGTGTAACATTTAAAACCTTTGGAAAATAGCATGACATCAGTTATTATTGAAAAGAAATACCATGTACCTGGAATGAACGCCAGCATTTTATTAGATTTCATCATCACATGTTATGAGTCACAGACAGTGTGTAATCAATGACAGACAAACAATAACAATGACATGAAGGGGAAAAAACCTTGAGCACGTATAACCACATTTAAACGGATAGTGCACACACAAATAAAAATGTTTTATTTATTTACTACTGTTTACTATTTACTCTACATCAAGTGGTCTGTCTGAGTTTCTAAAATCTGTTTGACACAAAACAAAAGGTTTTAAAGAAAGCTAGAAACACCATTAACTGCCATAGTATTTGTATTTACTTTCTAATATGGAAGTCAATGCTTTCTACGTTTATTGTGTTCAACAGACTAAAGAAACCCAATGTTTATAACCACTTGAGGGAGAGTAAATTAGCAAATATTTGCCTAAACTATACCTTAAATACAGTTAATAACACATGTCGTGCATTCCAATACGTTTTACACACACACACACACACACACACACACACACACACACACACACATAATGCATCAAACATTTCTCTCCACTATAATAATGGCATTGTTTACCTGGTACACCGAGGCTTTAGGCAGGTCCAGACACACCGTGCAGCAGAGCACCGAGTACAGCCGCTCCTCCAGCTTCCCTGCTTCGCCCTCCTGCAGCCGGACGCGCTTTTTTGGCGGTGCGTCCGGGTCGGCCTCGCCAACCGAACCGTCCCTGCGCACCCCGGACTCCTCCTGGATACCTGCCAGTCCAGCGCTGCCCGGACCAGCATCCAGGGCGCCCCCCACAGGACCGACACCCAAACCCGAGGATGAGGAGCCCGGGGCGGCCGCGACTCCCAGTTCCATCCGCTCTTCCATCGAAGACATCCGAGGGATATTCGGGCTCACAGGATCCGCCGATTGTCAGTGTAAATCCGGCCTGTAATGATGATGATAATGGGGGGTCTTGGAGAGCCAACAATGCGCTCAGACGCAAACCATCAAGCGTAAACAGGCTAATTTCGGGTAATATGACTGTGTGATAGGGGACAGCGGATTTAATTTCATCTGTATGTCACTGCGGGCATGAATGATTGTGTTTTAGCATATATTAAGGTTGTGAAGAGAGAGAAAAACAAATAGGACTCAACAAAACAACAGGCTGTTGTTTAACGGCGTTATCCACCGTGACAGCACGCGCACGGCGACTCTCCGTGACCCCACCGGGTTATTCCTCCCCGGTCCACTTTCCGATCGCAACCGAGCACGATCCGGATTCGTCCGATAGCTGAAAAGTTATCAATTTGGTGCAGGGTCTCTTCGATAGTCCTTCCCTTAATCTACACTGCCATCTTTGTTTTTTTCTTGTCTGTCTCCTCCTCTTCTCTCTGTCCGGTTGTCCGTTTGTGATCCCGCCTATCCGGTGTCGTTTTACTCGGTGCAGGCTGAAGAATTGGCAAATGCTGTTGTCTGTTATTGAGCTGTCAGTGAAGCCGCTGCCGTTTTCAACGATGGCCGCTCTGCCCTTCCCTCTGGCGCGCCCTGATTGGCTGCGACAAATGTTGTGCTTCATCAGATGACTAGGGGTATTTAAAGAGCTATGTCCTGCGCATGCGCACCGGCTTCCTGCGGGTCATGGCTGAAGCTGTTTTATGAGTGAGGTGATATTTAAAAAAAAAAAACTTTTGTGATATGGTTACTTTAATAGTTGTTGTTTTTTAAAACGAGTATTAGGTGATTTAACTGTATTATTGCCATAGATATTTTAGCGTTTAAAAAAAAAGCAGAAACCTGTTCATACCCTAGTCAAAATCCCTTCATATGCGACAAAATGGCATCATCATCGTGGGACGTCATTTATTTAAATCAGGCTATTGTGCTTGATAGAACAGTTCTGAATAATCTTCAGGATCTGAATAAATCATGATTTCAAAAGAATATAATGCAGCTTAAAATATGAAAAATATTAATATTTTTTTCTTCTATTTTTTCTAATTTTTATTATTTTTATATTATTTTGTTTGACCCGAAACCTGAGTGACCCTCGGGGGGAGGGGAAATGCCCTCAGCCAATGAGATGCTGTGATCTGTGATGTACTAGTTTGGGCAAGACAGCTGTCAGTCTTGCCCAGCCTGAATAAGTGTGTGTGTGTGTGTGTGTGTGTGTGTGTGTGTGTGTGTGTGTGTGTGTGTGTGTGTGTGTGTGTGTGTGTGTGTGTGTAGGTGTGTGTGTGTGTGTGTGTGTGTGTGTGTTACATGGGGGATGAGAGTGTGTTTGGATTCGTTTTCTTTATTAATGGACTGAATAATAAAATAAGTAGTCTATAATAATATGCGTAGAGCAATGCAATACATGAGGTAGTAATAGTAATGAAGGCCTCAATGTAACTTTAGGAGGAGCTATATATAAATGTGTTATGTACACACTCGAAAATAAAGTTTCTCTATTTATATTGATGGTTCCAAGAAGAATGTTTGCATTCTACAAAAGATTCTTCACTGTGGAAAATAGATTTCCATTACATTAAATACTTAATGTTCTTAAAAGGTGATTATTATGGTGGCTTGAAAAGCCAACATACTGTTATCTCACTTAAACTTATTATTATTCTTCTTCTTCTTTCTTCTGAGACTAATTTTAAAGTCTATCTCCTCCTAACCCTTTCAAGCTTCATACCTCAAACTTTCGTCAAACCTTCAAACTGGTCTGACTCGGGTTGCTATATCTTTTCCGACTGATCCGACTTTCGGTTTTCCGAAAAACGACCCGGAAAATTCCCAAAATTCCCATTGACTTAACATTGGGTCAAACTTTGTGACCTCATAACTCTGCATCAGACGTTCCTACAGACTTCTAACTGGGCTCATTTAACTCAGTCTAGCCAGCAGCCAATAACTGATGACCTTTAAACTTACTAGCCACTCCCTAGCAACCACTTTTGGCACCCTAGCAACTGTCCCATAGACTTCCATTGTAAAAGACTGCCATTGACTTAACATTGAGTCAACCTTTGTGAGCTCATAACTCTGCATCAGACTGTCCTACAGACTAGAGTCAGGCCTCATTCAACTCAGTCTAGTCAGCAGCCAATCACTGATGACCTTTAGACTTACTAGCCACTCCCTAGCAACCACTTATGGCACCCTAGCAACTGTCCCGTAGACTTCCATTCAAAAGACTCTCATTGACTTAACATGGGATCAAACTTTGTGAGCTCATAACTCTGCATCAGACTGTCATAGAGACTAATGGCTGAGCTCAATTAACTCAGTCTAGCCAGCAGCCAATCACTGATGGCCTTTTAACTTTCTAGCCACACCCCTAACTACCACATACTGCACCCTAGCAACTGTCCTATAGAATGTAGTTAGCTGTGCTATCAAATGCTTACATGCATATCTTTGCATAGCAGTGTCCTATTGACTTGGGGGATGGCTCATCTGACTCAGACAACCAATGAGCATCTCAATATGATAATAAAGCTCACAAGCCACGCCCCCAAATTGATTCCATAGACTTCCATTAAAATAGGCCAAGATGCATATCTTTGCATAGCAGTGTCATAGAGACACGGGGGTTGGTTCATTAGACTAAGACAACCAACCACATTCAAGTTAACTCTGTAACCTCGCCCATAGCAACAAAACAGAGTACCCTAGCAACCATTCATCAACAGCTATATCTCAGCATCAGAACATCGTAGAGACTTGGAGATTGGCTCGTTTGACTCATGCTAGCAAACGAAACTTCCTATATGCTACACATGCTAGCAGTGACTAGCTACATGCTAATATTGACTAGCCAAGTACTGTAACTTGCTAGAAATGCTTACTAAGTATAAATGTTTTATCAAGCATGTATGTGAGGCTTGCCTAGTAACCAACCAGGGTACCCTAGCAACTGCCTAGCAACCACCCAAATTACCCTAGCAACCGCCTAGCAACCACCTAGCAATGGCCTAGTAATGCCTTAGTAAGGGCCTAGCGACCACTCAGGACACCCTAGCAACCGCTTAGCAACCACTCAGAATACCTTAGCAACCACCTAGCAACACCTTAGCAACCACCTAGCAACCACTTGGGACACCTTAGCAACCACCTAGCAACACCTTAGCAACCACCTAGCAACCACTCAGAACACCCTAGCAACTGCCTAGCAACGCCTTAGCAACCACCTAGCAACCACTCAGGACACCCTAGCAACCACCTAGCAACACCTTAGCAACCACCTAGCAACCACTCAGGACACCCTAGCAACCACCTAGCAACGCCTTAGCAACCACTCAGAACACCCTAGCAACCATCTAGCAACCACTTAGGACACCTTAGCAACCACCTAGCAACACCTTAGCAACCACTCAGAACACCCTAGCAACCGCCTAGCAACACCTTAGCAACCACCTAGCAACCACTTAGGACACCCTAGCAACCGCCTAGCAACACCTTAGCAACCACCTAGCAACACCTTAGCAACCACCTAGCAACCACTCAGGACACCTTAGCAACCACCTAGCAACACCTTAGCAACCACCTAGCAACCACTCAGAACACCCTAGCAACCGCCTAGCAACACCTTAGCAACCACCTAGCAACCACTCAGGACACCTTAGCAACCACCTAGCAACACCTTAGCAAACACCTAGCAACCACTCAGAACACCCTAGCAACCGCCTAGCAACACCCTAGCAACGCCTTAGCAACCACTCAGAATACCCTAGCAACCACCTAGCAACCACTTAGGACACCTTAGCAACCACCTAGCAACACCTTAGCAACCACTCAGAACACCCTAGCAACCGCCTAGCAACACCTTAGCAACCACCTAGCAACCACTCAGAATACCCTAGCGACCACCTTGCAACACCTTAGTAACCACTTAGCAACTAGTCAGAACACCTTAGCAACTGCCTAGCACCACCTTAGCAACCACCTAGCAACCCCTCAAAACACCCTAGCAACCGTCTAGCAACACCCTAGCAACCACCAAGCAAATAGTCAGACCACCTTAGCAACTGCCTTGCACCACCTTAGCAACCACCTAGCAACCACTTAAAACACCCTAGCAACCGCCTAGTAAAATGCTAATTCATGCTAGAATCATGCTAACAACATGCTAATTCATGCTAGAATCATGCTAGTAACATGCTAATTTATGCTAGATGTATGCAAACAACATGCTAATTCATGCTAGAATCATGCTAGTAACATGCTAATTCATGCTAGAATCATGCTAACAACATGCTAATTCATGTAAGAATCATGCTACTAACATGCTAATTCATGCTAGAATTATCCTAGTAGCATGCTAATTCATGCTAGAATCATGCTAGTAACATGCTAATTCATGCTAGAATCACGCTTACAACATGCTAATTCATGCTAGAATCATGCTAGTAACATGCTAATTCATGCTAGAATCATGCTAACAACATGCTAATTCATGTAAGAATCATGCTACTAACATGCTAATTCATGCTAGTAATATGTTAACTCAAGCTAAAATCATACTAACATTCTATTTACACTTTAAAACCACTTCAAACTTTCAGATTCGGCTTTTCAAGCCACCATAAAGTTTGTCCTCAAACTTTAATATCTAGTTATTATTCAAATTGAAGTGAATGTTTTTTTTTTTAAGAAGATACTTTATTTTTGTCTTGTTTTGCAGGGAATAGGATGTACTAAAGTCAGTACACAAATTAGGTTATA